ATTGTTGACTTGAACAGCGTCTTGGCCGAAAAAGATAGGAACCTACTGATCTAAATATTTTGATATATGTACAGAACTAAGAATAATACAGCTATACACAGAATTCACATTAACATACTTGCACCTTGAAAAAAGAAATTCAAGGAAAAGCTTACATCAACTTTCCAAATCTTGTTCTCAACCTTAACCTGCATCAGTTGTCCAACCAATGGAAACCATATTACTTTAGAGATCAATTAAGTAGCAAATTTCATATTTTAGCGAAGAAAACACATAAAAAGAAATCAATTGAAAAGAGACGGAGTTACCTTATCGGCACTTGGACCAAAAATCTGCCTCAGAAGTGCCATAATCAGAGTTTTCTTCCCTGACCCGGAAGGGCCATAAAAGAGAAGATGAGGACAATCTCCCGCTAACACCTAATAGTAAGCATAAAGAAAAGGGTCACAAATAGTGAATAATTCGAGAATTCACAAAGGTGTATACTACAAATAAAAGAAGTTTTACCAGCTTTTGAAGATTTTGAGCAACATCCTCGTGGACAATAACTTTGTCTAGGGTTTTGGGGCGGTACTTGTCAACCCACAACATCTTCAAATTTGAGCCAAACTACTCTAAGAGAATGAGGAAAACAGGAGCCTGAGAGTAGATATTAGGCGACAAATTTTTATAATTTTTTTTTGGTTAAACAATTTTTATTTTTATAATTCTTATGCTAGACAAAAATGGAAAGCACTGTAATTTTTTAAGTTTAATTTTCCAATTACATATTAAACAATCCCCAAGCGAAACTACCGAGTTTTTACAAGTTATCTTGTTAATGACGAAAAGGGGAACATACAATTCACAGAGTTCTTCATAGCACAGAGAAAGAAACCATCCACATCTTTATAAAATAAATAAAAAAGAAGTTAAAACATTATGGAATAAAAAGCTAGACCAACTATATAAGTCTGATTGAAATCACTAAATAAAGTAGTATGCAGAATTTCACTGTCAAGAAACTCAAAAAATTTAAAATAGCATAAAATAAAGAGCAAATAGAAAGATCATGAAGTAAGTAGCTATTATCAGAGGTAAAGAAAGGATCAGGTGAGGGGTAAAGTAGTATAAAGCCAAGCATTTCATAGTAAATACTTACGCAAAAAACGAGAAATGCTCTATGCACATGCATATAGGCAGTCAAGTTGTATGCAAAATTACTTCTTCGAAGAAAAATAAGCACGAAATAACACAGGCCTTAGGTACATTTTCAACCAAAGAGATGCTTACAAGCTGCTTCTTCAATTTAATTTAAAGTTGAGGGTTTGCAATGGTTCGCAAATCCAACTCTAGAAATCTTCAACAACAATTTTTTCCAATGAAATTCATCAGATTTTTTGTGACTTTCGAGATTCGGAAACAAAGAAAAGTGAAGAAATTTGACCTGATTCGCGACCAATTTTCCTTGGGGTGCTTGGGAAGGCTGTCCGTGAATGAGCAGACTAAAAGGAGGCAATTGCAGCAGAATGCGTAAAAGATCAATTCCCCGCCAAATGCGAACGATGTCGTTTTCGCCCTAACTTAGATGTTGTGCTAGATGGGCTACTTACTAGGGTTGGGCTATTGTATAGGCCCACCTAGCTATAAAGCAGCAAAAATGGCATTAGATATCCACTTTGAGCACCCCTATGTAAAATGTATCCAGTTTTTAAAAATTATGTGACATTTAATAAACTTTAAGCACTCAAGACCGTCCGCAACTTAACGTAGCATATTGTATAATTGATTTTATAATGATATCCAATAAAAACACCGTTTATTAATTAATATGATGTATGTTTGAGTATTGTGCCGAATGAACTGATTGTTTTTCTGTAGGATATGAATACTAGTGGATCGAGGTATAAATTGGTAAAATTATTAGAAAAATAAGCATATTGATCAATGACTTATGTTGTTACCGGAGAGTTTCATTTGATTATATATTGTCTCTCTTTTTGTCTTTTTGAGTCGAGGGTCTACCGGAAACAGTCTCTCAGCCCCTTGGGATAGGGATAAGATCTACGTACACTCTACCCGCCCCAGACTCTCAGGGGCGAATTCAGGATTTAAATTCAATGGGTTCTTTTAAAGTTTTTAGCATTGAACTCGTTATATTTTTAAAGTTATGGGTTCATATCTACTATTTTTGTAATTTTAATAAATTTTTACATATAAATTTTATTCTGCATCAAAAGTTATGGGTTCAATTGAACTCGTCGACAATGCGCTACTCTACTTATGAGATTTTGCTGTGTTGTTATTGTTGTTGTTGTTGTTTTGTCATGCAGCTGCAAACTTGGCTTGAGGATTTTCTTTTGATTAAAGGATAATATTTATATTCAGACAAAAAGAATGGAGTTTTGAGGATTTTCTTTTGATTAAAGATTTTGAGGATTAAATTTTAAACAATTTTATTCTTTCCTTTTGTCCTTTTGTCTTTTTATTATCTTGAGCCGAGGGTCTTTCGAAAACAGCCTCTCTACTCCTTCGGGGTAGGGGTAAGGTCTGCGTACACACTATCCTCCCCAGACCCCACTTGGGGGGATTTTACTGGGTTGTTGTTGTTGTTGTTGTTGTTATTTTTTGCACAAAACTCTACTTGTTTAATAGTTTTAGAATAAATTTTACATATTTAAAATCTATGCGGTTATTCTAATTTTTTATAAAATGATATAGATATATTTATTTATAATAAGTTGAAAATTTTCATAGTAAAAAGTGTTAGGACCGAGTATCTAATATAAATAAATAAAAATTTCTTATCATAAACTTTACACTAGAATACACTTGTCACAAATTCTAGTTTATTTAATTAATGTCGGCTCATTAAGCTTTCATATGCCAAGTTGCTAGTGAGGTGAATGGTCTGAAACCAAAGTAGATCCAG